TACATCACCAAAACAGTCTCACCCGATAAATAAGTGGCGTAGGCCGCAAACATGTGCCTCTCCTCTGAACCAGGAGGGAAGGAGCATCTACCGGCACACATAACAACTCTGCGACTGGTTAAACCCACGACCTTCTGGATCATCCAAGAACTATAACGCTAATAATAATAAACAGGGAAATGGACAAAAAAAGTGGGTATACCCACGCCATTCTCGTACAGAAATGGGTACTCGAAAATCCAGCGTGCGCGCACTCCCAAGGCAACCCCCCAAACGACTCAAAACCCCATTCTAACACCTGCGCGACACAGCCAGGGACCTTCAACAGCACGGGCATCGATTTTTTCCCACTTTCAGGCACACATTCGGCCCTAATACCGCAGAGGCGCGCAAGGCCTCACCAGAGTGCCCACTTCTGTCCGACATCGCGGTGGGTATACCCGGCGACGTCAACAATTTTTTCCATGTACCCACTTACGTCTGCTATATTTCGACCCACTTTTTTTGTCCAACTTGTACCCACTTACTTGTGTCCACTTACGGACGGCGGAAATCGAGCGGAAATCGACCTCCACGTCACCGCACGGCAGAACATCGAGTAGCCTCGGAACGTCTCAGGACCTCCCGACACCATATCCATCCATGGCATATTTCTTATCCATGGCTGCCGACTGCGGACCGACCGCGGAGGAACATGTCAGAAACATGCCAGGCCCCTTCGGTATGTGGCACGGGAGGATGTGTGTGTTTTCGTCCTAATTATTATGGCGACAGTCCTCCCATTTTTCGTGGTGAGACGTGTACTACACTATTTCAGCGTAGTATGTAGAGTACCACACTTTTTAGTGTATTTTTCGTACAACTACAACCATCCAGGGTCACACAGGAGGGGGTGAACACCAGGGCTTTTTTCTTCTTTTTATTTCTTTTCATGCCCCACCTTCCTCCTGCGGTGCGTGCTGAATTTATTTTTTTCGCGAGAAGGGTCCATCCAGCCTTCCCTTTTCCCTCGTCAAAGGTGCTAACGTCGAAGTTTGGTTCTCACCAGAGCCTTTTAGCTATATTTCGCTTTCACCCGCAAGTTTCATATATATTTTCACCCCATTGTTAAGGAGGACCCGATTCGCAGGGTATCCGTCGATTGACTTTTACCTGAATCGGTACACCTTCTTCGCATATATATGGCGTCAGCTGGATGCATACTACCCGGTGGCCCCGGTCGTCTAGTGGGTAGCTTCGCAGCCTGCTAAGGGCCAGGTCAAGGGTTTGAGTCCCGGCAGGGAGAGTTTTTTTCTCACTAAATAAATCCTGGTCTAGGATGAAAGCGACGCGCTGCAAAGAAGCTCGTTTGGTAGTAAACCATAATCGACTTCGTAAGTCGCGAGGGAAGGGATTGCTGTACCCTTCTCGCGA